CATCTGATGAAGGTAGGTCATTCTGCCTTGGCTAGCAGAGCTATCGAAGACAGAAGAATGTTTCTAGAAATGTGAGGATTTGCTGCTTATTCATACAGCTGCCTGACTTCTGACTAACAGGTTGGAAAGAACAACTTCAGACCTCCTCCCAAAGTTGAATCCAGCGTTGTCCGAATAGAGCCAAAGAACCCACCACCACCTATCAACTTCCAGGTGAGCATCTTACACTGTAATAACAATGTAACATACTAGTGATAGTACTTAATTTCATTTTTCTTTTCACTTACTGCTCAGTTCCATGTGCTGGTTTCACTACTAAGTACCAGCTTTTCATTGGCATTTATGTCGTTCCAAAAGACTTATTCCTCTGGCTTGCATTAGGACATTACCTGAACGTGCCACCATCGATTCAGGTGCAGCTTTGTTCACAGTATTTTTGACTAGACTGAGGTACCATCTCCAAGTCAGCCGGACAGTTGCTAGTAATAATGTCTCTTTTGTTATGGTTTATATCTCCCAGAGACCCTTCTGGCTCTGAATTTGTTGGTTATGATTAAAGGAGTACCTATGAGAAGTCTTTATCTTCAGATGAGTGCGTATAATCTCAGAAGACAGATGTTACAGGATAGTATTCCTAAAGTTAATTTTTAAAACGCTTTGATCTTCAAGACCGGTTCAGCCTAGCTCAAGGTTAGCCAGATTTTCTTCAAGTATCTGCCTTCTCAGCACATAAGATCTGGCCAATCGTGCCTAGGCACAAAAAAAGAACAATTCAAAGGTTTTTGTGGGTGAAGTATTTTCTCCTCCATTTGTGTTGCTTTGTCCAAGATAGGACTCATTTTGTATTGTTTAGAAAGATATTTTCCTGAAAGATTTTTCTTTGTGTACAGTATTGCTGTGAAATTGTCAGTAGTGACTGTTCTTGTTTGTAGTAGCTGTTCCTTTTTGTAGATTCTGAAATTTTTAATTTCAGGAGTGGGATGGTCTGGTAAGGATAGCCTTCGTTAGGAAAAACAAGACACTCTCTGCAGCGTTTAAGTAAGTAACTTGTATTAAAGGAAATATTTTCAAAGTCTCAGAGTCCATCCAGTTAACTATTTCTTTTGTGCAAATGCATAGCAGTGTTACATGCATGCCAGCACAGTCTGGGATAAACTATGATGGAGGATTTATGCTGAGGTCATAAGCTTTTTCTTTTAGAAGAAAACTAGCCAGCTGTTTAAAAAGAACAGCTCTGTGTAGTCATTACAGGTTTTCATAGTAAAGTTTAACAACCAATCAAGTAAAAAAAACCACAAAACAACTAGTTAAAGCTGAGTTTTCATTCTAACTTGTATTTCTTTCAGGTCAAGTGCTGTAGAGCAGTTGCTGGATCATAATTACCGAATTCATTGTTCCTTACATAATACAGTAAGTTCCTTCTTAATATACTAATTCCTATTTCTGTGTACTGTACAAGAGTAAAAAATTAACATTGAAAAGCTTAATGTGTTGAAGTTTTTCCAAGAAAGTTTGAGGGAGGGAGGAACCTACCTCTTAGAGAAAAATCTAAAAGGGTCATTAAATTACAGTGAAAAAGCTGAAAGCTGAGTATGTCATTAATATATTGGCTGTACATGTCTCAAGGACTTTTACTAATCTAATAAGACTCTAAAAACACTTTGTGTCTGCTTAGCAATACTGTTGCGATTCATTTACAGTGAATGAGCTGAGGTATAAAAATTCAGATACAAGAATGGAGGAATAAAATAATCCATACAAGAAAAAGTACAACTTATTTCTATCACTTGAAACAAGAATTATTCTAAAAGCAGGAAAAGAATAGATTATTTAAATGAACATTTTTCTATGCTATGAATAGAAAATTAATTTGTATCCTATTTTCCATTGACAGGAAATACCTGAAAACTTCAAAATTGCAGAGAAAATACAGACCGTCCTAAAAAATACAGGTTACTCTGAAAAACGAGCCCGTTCAATGGATATAGATGATTTCATTAGGTATTTTTTTCTCTCTTTATGCCTGCCTTTTACGCTTCTTCAAATTCTATCTGCATCTGTACCTAGGTAGCACAGATTAGTATTGGGTTACAAAGGAATAGTACTAACGCTTTGTTTTCCTCTCAATACCAAACACTCCTTGCTTCCAGTCCTGAACATGAACAAACATTTAAACCCTATATATATTTTAACTGCTGCATACAGTATTGAGAAGCAACTAGCTGAAGATCCCCATTTCTGGTATTTGTGTACTAGACCCTTCTATGTATTCTCTAAAAATGGTTTTAATAATGGAATTGGTCATTATCATTTCCCTGAAGACTGGCACAGCCCTTCTCTGTCTGTCTTGAGGATTAGGCCTTAGTCTATAGCATAATTTGGAAATTTGAGTAATTAACTGCTGCCTTCTGCTCTTACTTCTGGTCAGTTCATTTAAGTGGCAGCAG